TTTTGCGTTTTGTGTGTGTGTGGGGGGGGGAATTAGGGAGTAGATACGAATTGTCAAGGCTGGTTGCAGAGGCGGGGGAATTAGTTCAAGAGCCTTGGGTATTTTTCAGGCGGCGGGAACAGGAGAGGCGGGTGCCTGTCCTTGAGCCTGAAAGGAGTCTCATTGAATACCTGCCAAGGGCCAGACTGTTCGTCCCTGAGGCTTTGTTAACAGGTGCATACTGGGGAGGGGGGGCTCTGATGAAATGTCTTTTGGGGTGGGAGGGGGCACGTGCTCGTAGCAGCCTCCCTTAGTTGCGGCGAAAACTTCCAAGCGCGGCTCTCCCCGTGGCTGTTTCCGCGGTGCCTTTAAAGACCCTTGCTGCCACCGGCGATTGGATCTGGTCTGTTTCGAGGACGTTTTTCTTATGGGGAAAAGTTTGAAGCTCGTTGCTTTCCCCTTCCTTCCTTAATTCGTGATGCGTGTCTAATATAGAGGCTTGAAAGTAACAGTATGACAGTGTTGGAAGGGACCTTGCAGGTCTTCTAGCTATTAAGTTCACCCCTGCTCAAATGTTACGTAGAGACACTAAATGTCTGTGGATGTCTATTTAGAAATTTATAATTGTCTGTTTAGAGCTGAAGAAGTTTCTTGTATAAGAAGCAAAACGTCTTCAAAGAACAAAACCAGAAAGTTCAGTTGCCTCTTGAAAAAGCACCTTGAGATATAGAAACACTATAACATTTCAGAAAAACACTTGTCTAATCTCTTCTTTGAAACCTCCAGTGTTTCAGCATTCACAACTTCTGGAGGCAAACCGATTGTGCTAACTAAATTAAATAAATAAATTAGCTTCAGGATGTACTGTAAACATTTAGGGTCTTTCTCAACCATTGAATTTCCTGCTTTCTAGCCATCCTTGACTCAGCAGAAAACCATAAAAGGTGCTGCCCTAGTCCTGATCCTTATACTAAACTGGGTCTGTTGCTGCAGTTTCTAATCCTTGCAGCTATCAGAAACCATCCAAGGTAACGAGTGACAAAGACTAAGAGATTATATGTATATGCCTTCAGGATGCCGTTCTTCAGGGTTGCAATTAGTGCAAAATTTATATCAAATGCATCTCACTTACAGAGCAACTCTGTGCAGACTTAACATCAGTTACAGGAAAGGAGTACATATTTAAGGCTGTCTAATTTGTAGAATGGGATGAAGGTAACACTGTGGGAATGTTGCCAGTATATGTTTGTATGTGCTTAGATTCAGCTAAAAATATGGTTTTAGCTAATGCAAATGTGCAAAGGAACATGGTTTATTTCCAAAAAAAAAAAAAATTGGAATGGCAACAAAGTGAATTTGCTTCCCTGCCATACTGTACTGCAAAATTCCTTTCTGAGATAATAATAATAAAAATAGATTTTACTTCTTCTGTTTTTCAGATTCTCCCACTCCCCATGCACCTAAATTCAATTTTGCAAACTTTTCAAAATGTTGTGAACTTTCCAAAAGGCTTTGTTAAAATAGTTCCAGATTTCCTTGCCAATTTGTGTATCATTCTGTGAAAAACTGCAAAAGGAAAGCAAAAGTCTGGGCATAATTTTAAAAGACTTTTCATTGCCATTCATTCGTCAGTGTATAGAGTCTTGATAACAGACAGGTTTTATGAATGTGTCATATTTCACTGCAATATGAAAAACTAGGCTACAGTTCTAAAAAATTCCCAGATTTCTCCTTGGCTAAAGATTCTGTTATTCCTAACATTCTAAATATTACATAGTATTTAAGCCCCATAACTGCTTTAGGGAAGAATTATGTGCCTTGTGTATTTTTAAATTTTTAGACGTTCACTGTGCACAGTTTTTCAGTCTCCTGCCTCCTGTGCCATTTGCTTGTTAAACCATGCAGATACTAACAACATGGAGATTTTACATGTAGCAGTATTTCTGGTGACATAGATCACTAGCCTGTTGTGCAGCATTAAATGAAATTAAGACATCCATACACCCTATTCTGTATACAGGCAGTCCTTAACTTACAACTGTTTAATGAGGGTCCAAAGTTATGAGGGTATTGAAAAGGATGATTTCCAACTTGTAAAGCACTTCTGACCATTGTAAAATGTCACATCACTGCACATCCATGATCACAATTCATGTCCTTGGCAACTGGCTCACATTTATGACTGGTGTCTTGCTAATTTTTGCCAGTTTCTGGCAAAACAGTGGCAAAAAATACCATTTGTGAGGGTTGTTTGTACTTATAACCATGCGATTAATTAAATCACCACGATTCATTTTACGACTGCTATAAAAATTGTGATAAAATCACATGATGATTTACAACCACAAAGACTTAAAATTGAAATTTCGGTGTCAATGTAAGTTGAGGACTACCTCTAGATTCCTCCCATCTTAATTTATTTATATCCCACCTATATTCTTTTTACAAATAATTCAGGGGATAAATATATCCAACATATTTTCTTCCTCTTATTTCCCCAACAACAACCCTGAGAGGTGGGTTGGGCAGAGAGACAGTGATTGGCCCAAAGTCACATAGCTGGCTTTCATAAGGCAGATTTGAACTCACAGTCTTCTGCTTTCTAACCTGGTGCCTTAACTATTAATCCAGAACTGGCTATCTTATTCCCTATTATATTGAAGTAGGGATGCATTTTTTCTAAACCTTAGTCCAGGAACTGAGATCTTGTCATGGTTAGAAGCATTAAATAGGTGGGAGGAAAGATGATAGCTACAGAGCAAAGCAAAAGCTATTTGGAAAAAAAAAACAGTAGTTCCATCTCAAACACATTTCCTAAATTACCACAGTCCAGTTCTTCTGTAAGAAAGAGATCCAATGATAAAATGTTGCCAAGAGGAAATTTCGGACTTGGGATTAGAATGTGTCTAAAACTATAGGAAAGTAAATATCATTGGCTTATTAATGAAAGAGCAGTAGAAATGTCTATAACTTTCTAGCAGTATTTCTGTTTGTACAGATATATATTTTTGTTTCTGAAGTTTATTTTCATTACAGAAAAACAGAATAGAATAGAATTCTTTATTGACCAAGTGTGATTGGACACACAAGGAATTTGTCTTGGTGCAAAAGCTCTCAGTGTACATAAAAGAAAAGATACATTCGTCAAGAGTCAAGAATCATAAGATGCAACATTTAATAATAGTCATAGGGTACAATAAGCAACCAAATCCTACTAGGAAACAGTCAATATAGATGGTAAGGATACAAGCGACAAAGTTACAGTCATACAGTCACAAGTGGGAGGGGATGGGTGATGAGAGATGAGAAGGTTAATAGTAATAGTAGTGCAGACTTTATAAATAGTTGGACAGTATTGAGGAAATTATTTATTTAGCAAAGTGATGGCTTTCTAGTTGTTCTGGTGTGCAGTGCTCTATAGCATCGTTTTGAGGGAAGGAGTTGAAACAGTTTATGTCTGGGATGTGAGGGGTCTGTAAATATTTTCACAGCCTTCTTTTTGACTTGTGCAGTATACAGGTCCTTGATGGAAGGAGGTTGGTAGTAATTGTTTTTTTTTTTTTTTGTAGTCCTAATTACTCTCTGAAGTCTGTCTTGTTAGGTTGCAGAACCAGACCAGACAGTTATAGAGGTGCAGATGACAGACTCAATAATTCCTCTGTAGAACTGTATCAGCAGCTCCTTGGGCAGTTTGAGCTTTCTGAGTTGGCACAGAAAGAACATTCTTTGTTGTGCTTTTTTGATGACGTTTTTGATGTTAGGTGTCCATTTTAGATCATGTGATATAATAGAACCTTAAAATTTGAAGGTCTCTACTGTTGATACTGTGTTGCCTAGTATTGTAAGAGGTGATAGTATGGGAGGGTTTCTTCTAAAGTCTACCACCATTTCTACGGTTTTGAGTGTGTTCAGTTCCAGATTATTCCGGGTACACCACAAGGCAAGTTATACAACCTCCTGTCTTTATGCAGATTCATCACTGTCTCAAATGAGACCAATCACTGTTGTGTCATCTGCAAACTTCAGTATTTTAACAGATGGATCGTTTGAGATGCAGTCATTGGTATATAGGGAGAAGAAAAGTGGAGAAAGCACACAGCCTTGGGGGATGGGCTGTGCTAATTGTGCAGGTATCAGATGTGATTCTGCCTAGCTTCACCTGCTACTTCCTGTCTGTTAGGAAGCTTATGATCCACTTACAAGTGTCTTCAGGTACTGCTAGCTGGATTAGTTTAGTTAGAAGAACGTCTGGGATGATGGTATTTAATGCTGAACTGAAGTCTACAAAGAAGCCCCTTGCATAGGTATTTGGAGATTCAAGGTGTTGAAGGATGTAGTGCAAAGAAGAGTAACAAAGATGATTAGGGGCCTGGAGGCTAAAACATATGAAGAACGGTTACAAGAACTGGGCATTACTAGTCTAGTGAAAAGAAAGACCGGGGTGACATGATAGCAGTGGATGAAACCTGATCATGGAGAGATTTTACCTAGAAATAAGAACTTTTCTGACAGTGAAAACAATAAACTAATGGAACAGCTTGTCTTCAGAAGTTGTGGGAGCGTCATCACTGGAGGCTTTCAAGAAGAAACTAGACCGC